TGATCTGAATTATACTGTCTGAGAATTTTCTCTATTCTGAGACACAACTGTCCTTCAGATAATACAGTTTGCTATCATCAAGGAAATAAGTCTGTAACAGAGTAACACTGTTCTGGTAATAGGTGCTGGAAAAGAGAAGAAAGTTGGTATAAAAGTGAGACATTCTATAGGTGTTTAGTATCAAACTTTGTCCGTGGAAAATAATTTACTCTTGTTGGCCACATACACAGCTACTTGTTCCAAAAATGTATTTTTCATTTCCAGAATTTGTTGTAGATATTTTTATTATTTTTTCAAGCTCTAAGTTTATTTAAGCATCTAAAACTCTCACTGACAGTGTTGTATTTGCCTCTGCACTGTTTTACTATGATCCAGAAATTCTCTGTTTCACATCCAGATTAATTGGAAGGAGATGATATTTATTGGGCTTTTTTCCTAGTTTCATACATTGTTTTGAATCTCTGACTGATAAGCAATTCACAGAGCTGTGGCAGGCAAGCAAAATAAATACCTGTATGTCCATTAGAATGTAAATTACTCATTATTATGCCAGCTTCTGACCTTTTCTGATGGCTGTATTTTTGCTAACAAAGACTCGTTGCTATTCATGAAAGTGAAATTTAATGCTAGCTTGAGATTCTCTGGTGTATTTTAGATTAAATTCTCATATACTCAGGTGGCCGGTGAGGTTCCCGGTTTGAAAAGCAAGTAATTCCATCATTCATTACTTTGAATAGCTGTCCTTTTTCTAATTATTTGAAGATCTGAATATTGTTGAAAAATTGTTGCTTAAATTGGCTAGGTCAGTGAAACTTCATGAACTGCACAAAAAATGCTCCTTCACATAAAAAGCTGCATATTGATCTCACAGTCATGTAAGGTTTTGTATGAGTTCTATAGACTTAGAATCTTAGAAGTCAAAGGTGGCAGTTCTGCTGACATCCCTCCTTACATCTCCAAAAATTGAAAACTCTGTCATTTTGTGATCACTGGGCCTAAGACAACCTCCTACCATTACATCACCCACCAGTCCTTCTCTGTTCCCAACAAACAGCAGGTCCAGCAGGGCACCTTCCCTAGTTGACTCAGCGACTGTGTCAGAAATTGATCTTCCACACACTCCAGGAATCTCCTAGACTTTCCTCTCTGCTGTATTGCATTTCCAGCAGACATCTGGTAATTTTAAGTCCCCCATGGCAACAAGGGGTAGTGATTATGAGACTTCTCCCAGCTACCTATAGAGTATTTCATCTGCCTCCTCATCCTGACTGGGTATCTGAGAGGCTAGCTTTAACAGTCTCCCACCATGATAGCTGTCTTTTGGTCCTCCCCCTGATTCTGCCCCTAAACACTCAACCCTATCATCACCATCATTAAGCTCCAGACAATCAAGACAATCCCTAACACACCGGGCTACACGACCACCTCTCCTTCCTTACCTCTCTCAAGAGTTTATAGCCATGCATTGCATCAGCTCATCCTCTTTGCTGCCTGTGCTGTGTGCATTGATATAGACACGCTTCAGTTAGGTTATTGATCCCTCCACCTTTTTGGGGGAGAAGCCCTAATTCCTATGTGACTGCTTTTATGCACTTTCATCAATAACCTTCAAGTCTTTGCTGATTCATGGACCTCCATCCCCTACCTCCACTGAGACAGCAGTCCAAAGGACCTTACTAGCCTACCATCCCTGGTTTTATCCTTACCCCCTTCAAATCCAGTTTAAATCTCTTTTAATGAGTCCTGCTAACTCCTGTGCATAGATTCCCCACTGTGATACAGGTGTATCCCATCTGTCTTCAGCAGGCCTAGTGTCATCTAAACCAACCCATTACCAAAAAAACAAACCCCACAATTGTTCTAGTGACACCAGGCTCAGAGTCAGGCACTGATCTGCTGGATCTTCCTATTTCTTCCCTTATCATTTCTTACAACTGGAAGGACAGAGAACACTACCTGTGCTCCTGATCCTTTAACCAGTCATGCCAAGGCCCTGAAGTCTCTCTTGATTGCCTTCTAACTTCTTGTTGCAACTTCATTGCTGCCTACCTGAGAACTAAATAGTGGATGATAATATGAGGGCTGTGTCAGGGTAGGAATCTTTCTCTTCATATCTTTAACCCAGGCTGTGGGGAGGCAACAGGATTCCCCCAGTGGGTCTGGTCTAGATACTGGGCCTTCAGTTCCCTTCAGAAGGGAGTTTCCTATAACAATGACCTGTCTTTTTGCCCTTATGAAAGCAGCTTTAGCACAGGGAGTAAGCCAACTGAGCAACACGTCCATGCTAGATGAACCACCATCCTTGTCATTGTCTGGTTCCATTTGCAGAGCCTCACACCTGCTGTGCCTGGACACCTGGGGAGGTGGGGCAGTCACTTGTCACCACTGCCCCCCATCCCTTAGGTCACTGTGCTCAGACAGGTGGAGAGGATAGAGGATCCTCTGTATCATGTGTCTTGTCTATCTGGTGAGCCTGTCTCAGGGAAGACAGGCTGCCATTCCAGCAGTGTGATACTGTCACTTGTTAAGAAGTCTGGAACTCTGAAGGGAAGAAATACAGACTTGGATTCATGATGTCCCCAAGTCATCTGGAGCAGAGATAAGGCACAGAATGTGCTGCCCTGGTGGGGTCTAAATATCTAGCTGACCTCCTATGAACTCTGCCTGCTGTTTACTGTGCATCTTCATGGAGTGAGGATCTGTGGGCAGGAATGTATTGTTTCTTCGGGATCACTTTTCACAGGTGCAGTAGGCCAAAGAGAGTGTAAAACAGTGCTGATTTGAACTGGAGCACCACTTCTGTAACAGCTTCACTTTGGTTGAGATCAGAAGCAATGGAGTAGTGGAGCATAAAGCAAAATGTCACAACAAGCAACTGCTGAGGATCAGTTTGTACCGTTGTGAGTCTTTTTTCAGGAATCGCTGGTTTTAGTAATATCTGAGCATATATATATCTATATATCTATAAAGAAGACAGATGTATTTCACAATTTTATTAATCTGAACCTGCATTCAGTATAACAACCGATGAATGTAACCAGCCTTCATCTCAGAGCAGCACAGTGGTGTATCAGGTACTTGCCATGCCACCAGTCTGTAGACTCCTGCAAGAGAAAAGGCACTGGGTCTAACCATATGGAATGTTGTGGGCCTGATCAAAGATGATGGGTCATTCATCTCACTCTGATGTGGGATGTGTTGATTTTTGACCCATTGCATCAGGTGCCATCCCAGCTAAAGACCAAATGGATCCTCCACAGCATGGCACCGTCACTGGAGGACAGCTGACAGCAGGACTAGCTAACTATGCCTGAAGAGCTAGAGCTCCCAGTCTTCTTGCACCTACTCTTTATTTCAAGGTAAACCAACTTTTTGTTGTTGCTAGAGTGAGAGCTCAATACTTAGAGCTGTTAGAAAAAGATGGACTTTAAAAATATATCATGTGATAATGACTGATTTTATTAGATGCTGAACTACTAATTGCTATTCCCTATACATCATCTGATACTTTGAATATGACATGATCAATTGAAACTTTTTATCTCATGCTTGTTTTCATAAGTATTATTTCCATCTATTTTAATTCACGGTTTCCTTTTAGATTTTATTTACTACAGTATAGAAATTAATTTAATTTACTTGTTCTCACTGACCATGTTTCTTTTCCTGAATAGGGGAAAACACTTGAAAAATAATTAATGTTTATCTATGTACACACACAAAAAAAAAACCATTACCATTCCCACAAGTAGTTTTGGAATTTTAGCTGTAGGATATTTTGAATCTTAATGAGTGAGCCCAGTTGTAGCTTTAATTCTGTGCACCCAATCCAACCACACCTAGCATAGCTCAACAAAAGGTAAACACAGAGGGAGAACCCAAGTGTAATGTGAATGGGAAGGAACAGATCTCTGCATCCTGCTGACTGTGTACACCTGAGCCTGAACTCTCAGAGAAGTTCTCCACTGTCACATCCATTTGAAGTTAAGGAGTGTTTGACACCTTTGGAACTGAGGCCCCAGCGTAGACAACTGATAGACATCTCAGGGATGGCAGTAAGAGAAAGAAAAAAGGACAGAGAAAAAATCTACTGTTACAGTAAGTTTATACAATAACTTTCCTAGACAGGAAAACTTTTTGCTGAAGTGAAGTGTTGTCACATGGACGTTGATAAGATGCCTGTGGAGTCAGTTAATGCCCTGGGAGTGCTCATCAACCATCTGTTCAGTGACTTCCAAACATCTCGGAAGGAGAAAGGTCTGTGCAGTGCTTAGTACAGCTTTGCTCAGGAAGCCATATGCAACAAGAATATTAAAGCAGGAAAAAACCCCCAAGAAGCCCAGTGAAAGCTAATGGGCTTTCACCCATTCTAAGTGGAAGTGCAACAAGTGATATGGAGGGAAGTTGACTTGCCCTGAACATTGCTTTAGATTAAAAGGCTTTATCTTTGATGCTGTTGAGTTCCTCCCTGCAGCACTACCACAAGCTGTCACTGCAGAAATCAAACTGTTCCCAGGCTTCAGTTTAATTATACATACACATCTGCCACAGAGGTGAACATCATTAAAAGTCCTGTGACTTAGCAAAAGTTACTTAAGATTTTAGAGGGTGTGATGAACTTTTCCAGGAATCAATACAAAACAGTGAGAATAACAAAGATGGAAACATAGCAAAAAGCATCCACATGGCACAGATTAATCACCAAAAGTTGGGTTTGTATTACTGACATTATGGAATATGCCAAATTCGTGATTTTTACTGAAAAAAAAAAACCAGCAAAAGGCAACAATACAGGAAGCAAATCAGGACTCTGTTTTGCAGATGCTCTGAGTCCTGTCTGCTAAGCTGCTTTTAGAGAACTAAACTTTTCAACAGTAAATCCTGGCTGAAGTGTAAGGCACATGATATCTGAAAGCATATTTTACAACAAAAGCATACTTACATTTGGATGGAAGAAGGAATAGATACAATGAGTGTGTATCATTTGTCTTTTGTTACAGGATATCTTCATCAAAAAGAAGTACAGTAAACTGAAGCTGGAATTTGCCTTGAACTGAAAAAAACAAAAAGAAAAATAATATTTTTCCCCCTAATATATTTCAATCAAAAATCTATTTTCAGTTCCCAGTGTTCTTTAGTAAAGTTACAACACAGAAACCATCACAGCTCTGATTTCCAGGGAAGCTCATTTTGGAAGGTGGTAAATGCAGCTTAAAAAGCAATGTCAAAAATAAATTTTCTAATACTGCTTTGTGAGAAAATGTAATTCTGATTTTTATAAGGCATCTGGTTGTTACTGCACCTCAGCTTGTTTATTTCAAATCAAACAATTAACATTTCAGTATGTGTTGGCCACCAGCTGCTGTACCTTATTACAGTTTAAATGGCCAACGTTGAATAAGAAATCATTGCATTCTCAAAACTAACTTTGCAGAAGTATATGAGGTTATGTCTTTTACACATTACCAAAGTATTTCCCTGCTAGCACCTGGCTGAGTGGTGGTGGTTGCTCTTTAACACAAGCCAGTAACCCTGCTCTCCTTTCCAAAACTATTGCAGACCTGTCCTGGTGGTCTTTACAGGGAGTGTTAATAAAGAGTTGTTTAAAACTAGTAGAAAGATACAGAAGTCTTCAGAAAGTGAGTTAGGGCTCATATGGTGGAATTACTATGATAAAGAATGGCTGTCAGGCACAGGGGTGAGCCAAAAGCTCATGGTAAGAACAGGCTGCATGAAGTGTTTTTAGGTGAGTCTAAGCTGACTTCTATTATTTCAGATTTTAAAGGTGTATGTGGATAAGGAGGTGAAGGGCATTTATATGTATATGTATATAATATTTTCAGATATTCAGGTTTTTGTAGGAGACATCACAAGTTGGACAGTAGGGAGTTTGGGGAGGAAGAAGTAGAAATCTGGATGTGGGATGAGGTTGTAAGAGCTTATCCAGTACTTGTGCCTAGTGAGATGTGAGTTGATTAGGAGGTTGAGCAGTATCAGTACTGTATTAGTACTCAGCAGAAGTTGAAAGCTGCACTCTTCAGAGAACTAATAAATCAGTCCTGAATTGATACCAACCTGCCCACAGCTGTCGTTCAGGTGGATCCCACTCTCTCTGATGGGAAATACAGCATGTAAGGAGCACTAGACAGTCAAGGGAAAATGTGTTGTGAAGTGAGGTCAAAAGCTCCCTGCTCCTCACTGCCAGCTGTAGATGTGGCTGCAGAAGGCCAACACTGCTGAGTGTGCACCAAATAGACATTCTTAACATATATTCTTCAGGTGAGATTTTAAGTCTAAATTTTCTACATGTAGAGGATTTGGTCCTGTACTTAGGTAGAACGCTATGTAAAGGTGAAACTTAGAAGGGAACACACAGTATACCCAGGAAAGTGCATTTTGCTTTTGTGCCTCTTCATGTGATGTTTGTGTTATGCTTCCAATGTGCTACATATACATTGAATTCTTGAATTTGCAGCAGTGGTTGTATGTGTTTGGGGACCAGTGCTAACTCTGGATATTTGGTGCACAACAATTATCCATCCCCAGTCTCATATTGAGTAACCAACAATGCCATGTATTGTGTTGTTTAGATTGTGAAAAAGGATGTTCAGTTCAGCTGGGAATGCAGATGTTATGTGAGGCAACATTACTAAAATTGCCAAGAAATGGTGAAAGAAATAATGTGGAGTTTGTTTTATGGAACTAGGCCTTCACCTATTCAGCCTAGCATCTAGTCTTTGGCAGAGGTGGGAGGACATCTCATCTGACATGAGGTCAAGGTCTAATATCTGAATTTAAATCAGCAGAACGGATTTTAATATTAGTTTCAAGGTTTGTTACCTTTAGAGATTTTTGCTTCTATAACATGTTTTTGTACACATATGGGTCTACTATATTTTTTTAAATCTTCTTTTGGATCTTTTGCTTTTCTGGCATCCTATATCTGTTAGTTTTCTTAACATAATTTCATGCTGTGTGAATAAATATTGCCTTTTATTTGTTTTGAGTGTAGATGTTGTCATTTGTACGTTGCAGTCTGTGCCCATAACCTCTAAGCTAAATAGAAGTCCATGTTCTCCTTGTTTGGGAGAATAGTTGAATTTTTTTATTTGAGGGCTTTTTTTAAAAAAAATCTTCACTTGATGTATATGTCATTATTCATTTGATTTATAAATACTTATTGTATTTTTAACCTAGTAAAACTTTTCTGATCGCTCCAGCATAACTTATTTTCAGCTAGAGACAATAAATAAATAGGAAAAAAAATGATCTTTCATTTTGACTGGGAGTAATTTTTGCTGACCATAAGTTATGGGAAGTGCACCAGTACCAATGGATAGGGAATGTTACCTCTACCAATATTTTCTGAACACCAAATCAGGGCAGTGAGTTGATTTGAGATAACTTTGAGCAAACAGCCTTGCAACTTCCAAGTCTTTAGCTCTGAAAGGAAAAGTACTTTTTAGCTTTCACTCTTATTAGCTGTACAGTAACACAGCAGGTAATAAAAAGGTAACCATCTGCCATCCAGTAAGTTATTAAATAAGTTTCTGCTACAAAATCTCTAATACTGAAAATGATGTGCAAGGCAGGTCTAGCACGGCTGCCTGTTATCTCAGCTTGAATTTGTAGAGGGAAAGAAATCTGTCTACTTGTTAATGTAGCAGTTTTTATCCAGGCACTGTAGGGTCAGTCAACATAAACCTTTCCAGGATTACTTTTTCTAAGATACTTCTTTTTTATAAAGCACTATCAGCTTGCACATCAGCACTACAGAACAGCCAGTGTTTCACTACAAATGGCTGAAGTGCTTTTATGCCACAAGATTTTTTTTCAGTCTAAATTGATTGGTTATCATGGCACAAAAAGGTACTTCATTATCACAGAATTCTAGGAACCTTAAACACTATGTACAAATATAAATCCTGTTGTGATTTGTCTGTAGAAAGATACTATCCTGCTGTTCTCATTATTTAAATTTGCTTTCTAGACTCACTTTAGAAAAATAAATAATGAAATCAGTTCTGCTCTTCCAGCTGAATTCATTTTTTTGAATGAAAGGGCAAACTTCCTATTAGATATCTCAGTTTAAGCCCTATATCTGTTTCTGACAAAACAAATGAACTCTTTGTTATTAGCTTTAAATCTTACTTAGGAATGTCCACAGAGGTGTGGGATTTTTTTACCTGCTATTAAACTAGGAATGAGTTTTTTAATGAAAGCTATGCTGATCGCTGGTATTCTAAAAATTGTGACCCAATAGCCTTTGAAATGCTTCTTTTTATTTAATACTTTGTAAGGTTTTTAACATTGTGCTGCATAAGATCAGAGCAGTGTTTACAACGAGTGCTTCAAATTATCTCCTTTTACGAAAAAGACATATCCAGTGTAAGCTGCAATAGTTGAATTTCAGGACAGTCACCAAAGCAAGTTACCAGTTAGTCAATAGCTAAGGAAAAAGGAGGTAACTACTTGTGTAAAAGAGGGAGTCATGTCTGACCACTTACTACGACCAAAAATCAGAACAGTATCAAAACAAACAATCCTCTCAAGACTTGGCTACCTTATCTAGACTGATGAAACAGTTGGTTTTTTTCCAGGCTTTTCTTCTAAAAAAATCTCTTGTATTATTAGGTTTTGTTGATGGGATGTTCTGAATTGCTTCTTCTTAAAGGTGCGACTGCATTTGACACATCAATACCAGGTCATTTGGTGTCTTATCCAATGTCCACCAAGACATTTGGAAGTCCTTTTGCTTAGTTCTTTTAATTTCAACCTAATCCCATGCTGTTTGTAAAGTATGGCAATGATCTCAATAGCTCCACTTGCATATATATATATATATATATATG